AAAAAAAAAAAAAAAAAAAAAAAAACACCACAAAACAAGCAAAAAGCTAATACTATGATTTTCATTTATTCTAGATAATAGGACACCTCAAATCAAATGTACTCAATTCAGCTAACATGATCTCCTACATTCCATTACCTGAAAATAATTTTACTTTATTTCAAGAATTACTAAGTTTCCTTTTTGAAAGTACACATAAACCTATTATGTGGAAAGTAAGATGTATTTCCTATTCTGCATCTACTTCTGTGGTTAATTACAGCACACCAAAAAATATGCAAAAGGCCAAATAGGTAGTAGCTACACAAATAGCAATCTTTTTTAAAAATAAGCAACCACTTATTAAACATCTTTGTACCAGGCACTTTGATAGAGATTTTATACACAACACCACAGTCCTGTGTTATTATGCTCATGTTGATTTGAGAAAACAGTAGCTCTTCATATAGAACTTGGCACACGCCAGGTATTCAGCAAATACTTACTGAATGAGTAAAGCTTACCGAAGGCCCCTACTTATACAGGTAACAACTTAAGAAGGGGTGGGACATCATCTTACCTTAAAAGTTTCTTACAAATTACCCAAATTCATAGTCTCAAAAGTCAATGTCTAAAGTAGATTCTACTCAAATGCAGATTTCATAAAACGTAGTTCAAGTTGTTCGCAGTAGTACATGCCTGTAACCCCAGCACTTGGGAGGCTAAGGCAGAAGGATCTCAAGTTTAATTCTACCTGGGCAACTTAGCAGGACCGTGTCTCAACTATATGTATCCTTATATTCTGCCATTAGAAAAGTGAATGAAAAGTCTTATGAACACTAGTGCTTAGGTGATAAAGAAGTCATTAAAAGTTTAATTCTAAGGCTAGGGAGGAAGCTCAGAGGTACAGCATTTGCCTAACATAAGAAAAGCCCAGGATGAATCCCCAGTATCATCAAAAAAAAAAAAGTCTGATTAGGATCCAAATGACACCTACAATCTCACATAAACTGATAAAGAGGTAAAGAGGGTAATGTTTAAATATTATGTTGTTACCTAAAAGAACAGTTTTTTTAGTGAGTTGTGGTGGAATACACTTGAAATCTCAGCACTCTGAGACTGAGGCAGAAGACTGCAAGTTCAAGCCCAGTGTGGGCAACTTAGTGACTTAACAAAACCATTTCATGATTTTAAAAAGAAAAAAAAAGCTCAGCAATGTAGCTCAGCACTCCCTACATTCAGTCCCTAATACCAGCAAAATAAATAAATAAATAAATAATAGCTTTTTGATAGAAATTGATAATATAACTTCAACCTAAATTCAAACTCTGATTTCCATAGATAAAGCTTAAGAATAGTATATACTTCAATTTTTATAAACATTAGAAAATGTTTGCAGGCCGGGGATTTAGCTCAGTGGTTCCGGCACCTGCCTTGCAAGCACAAGGTCCTGACTTTGATGCCTGGTACCAAAAAAAAGAAAAGAGAAGAGAAGAGAAGAGAGGAGGGGAGAGGAGGGGAGAGGAGAGGAGAGAAGAGAAAAGAAGGAAGGAAGGAAGGAAGGAAGGAAGGAAGGAAGGAAGGAAGGAAGGAAGGAAGGAAAGTAATTGTCTCAAAAAGCCAAACAAATAAACAAATAAAACAGTTAAACAAAGATTGAATTAAACAAAAATTAAGCCAGGCATGGTAGCACACACCTATAATTCCAGCACAGGGTGGCTGAGGCAGGAGGATCACCACAAGTTTGAGGCCAGCCTGGGCCACAAAGTGAGTTCAAGGCCAGCCTGAACTATGGAGTGAGAGCCTGTCTCAAAATAAAATAAAAGAAGCATTATAAAAATTATTTTAAATTTAAAACAATTTAAACTTCATAAAAATAAAAAATTTTTATTCTTAATAATAAAATATTTAGCTGTTTTAAAACATTTTTATATACTTTTCAATAATATATCATTAGAAAACCATCCTTTCAGGGGCTGGGGATTTAGCTCAGTGGTTCCGCCGCCTGCCTTGAAAACACAAGGTCCCGAGTTCGATCCCTGGTACCAAAAAAAAAGAAAACCATTTTTTCTACCATTCTGGATAAATAAACTATTCTAGGCAAGCATTCCTCTGTCTGTGTATCAATTCTTTGTCAAATTCAATCTCATTCCTTTCTCTGTTACTGATTTATTTTTGCTTTTGGATGTTATCTTTCTTTTCATAAGGATAAAATGTGTTGGTGAACAATGTATCTGTCCATAATACTAGTATTGCTTTAAATAAAATAGTTCAGCGGGGCCTGGTGGTGCATGTCTGTAATCCCAGCACCTGGGAACCTGAGGCAGGAGGATCACCACAAGTTCAAAACCAGCCTGGGCTACATAGTGAGTTCAAAGCTCGCCTGAACTATTTAGCAAAACACTATCTCAAAAAAACCCAAATAAATAAATAGTTAAATAAAGATTGACTCTTAAAGATGGTAGTTAATATCCAATTTATAACCCAGTTCTTTACTCTTTCCCAGTACTCTAAAATAAAGGTCAAATAAAATCCTTAATATAGAATTTGATTTAAATACTCAAAAATTAAGCAAAGAAGTCAGTGTTTTATTCAAAATAAATTAGTCACTTTTTCCATTTTTGTTTCAGTCATAAGAAATGAGATAGTTAATTTTAAATGTACAACTTAGTACACTATGCAAATCATGTCTGTGTGTCAAAGAAAAATAACAAACTTAATGAGGAATGTTAAAAAAAAGCAGAACCCATTACTTTAAAGATACACAGGAGCAGCCAAAGATGACAAACATGCATAAAATTCAAAACATGGTGGGAAAGGGAATAGCCACTGAAACACATAAATCAGTGTTTCGAATTCTTTTTCTCTGTGGGTATAATTGTACCTTAGTTTCTTATAATGATTTATTGAGGTAAATATTCTGTATGGTTTAACAGCTACAGCTTCAAAGTGCCAGGCACAAGCTCTCCTTTATTCATGAGGCAGCTGAGTATTGGGATGTGAATTCACTTCTGTATTCTGAGACTTGGCAAAGTTTGTTTTTAAGGTCCTTATAAAGAATTCATGTTGATGCAGTCTATTCAAATGTGAAAAACACTGTGCTGTAATGAATGAAATAGAAAACCTTTACAGTAATTCTGGAGAAAAAAGTAAATAAATTGAAGTAAGCCACACAGAATTACTCTCAGAAAAGTAAAGAATGCCCCTGAGTTCATCTCAATCCACTTTTTCAGGTTTAGAAATGCTTACAAACCCCATCATTGGATGGCAACTAAACTGGGAAATGAATCTAATATCAATACAAAAAGAAAATGATTAGCGAGAAATAGAATTAAGTCTCAATAACATTCACATAAGAAAGTCTTTTGGGTTGATTTTTAATTTGTACATGCTATTGCTCTGGGACCAAGATATATCCAACAGCAACTAGTAATAACAATTGCACAATAGTTTATTAAAACTACCATGTAGCAGTTTTATAGTTTAGAAAAGGGAAATGAGTAATTTACCAAATACATGTCCTTCAAAAGAATGTCTGCATCTTTGACCTAAAGAACCTAGTACTTCATACATCTTCTGTTTGTCTATGCTATGCTTTTTAACAGAAAATTCAGATTTTTGTCAATAGATGTACTTACATTTATAAGCTCTGTATGAAGTGAATATTCAAACTGCCTAGACAGTGGTTCCACAGTGCAATCTAAAACACATAGCTTTAAAATATGCCTACTTTTTTGTTAGGGAATTCTCTCATCTTCAGGTAATATGTAGTACACTTTCAAACTCTGTTCAGTTGAGGGAGTATTTATATTATGGGGGGGATTGATCCTGCTCATGGATGATTTCTGCCATTTTGCTATATATCGTTTAAAATAGAATTAATAGTCTGGGGCTGTAACTCAATGGTAGGGCACTTGCCTCGCATGTACAAGGCCTTGGATTTGATCCCCAGTACTGCAAATAATAATAATAATAATAATAATAAAGTAAAACAAAGAATTATCTAAAAATAGTGCCTGCTAAAACCTACTCATTAAAACCAAATCTTTTAGTTATCCTCACAGAATCTATTATAACCACACAGGGAGTAGATGATCAGAAAATAAAGACTTACATCAGATAATAACTTACTAGTTAAAATGGCTCTGGAAACGTTTTACTACTTTTCAGATACCATCTTCCTTTCCCAGAATAACTTTTGCACAAAAAAAAAATCCTACAAAAAAATAAATATATTATAAGATATCAGGTTATTATATTGCTTTCAGACACTCACCTGTCTATTCAACACAATTTCTAGTCAGAGAATATCAACTGGAAAAATGTACATTGTACCCTATGTTTAAATAACCTCAAGTGTTTTACATTGCTAATATGAAGAGAAAGAATCTTGAACAACTCCAAAAGTAGTTTTTTGTGCTATCACTTTATATAAAGCTTATGTGAAGACAAGATAATCATGATCTCCTAAAAGGCTGAAAAAGAGGTAGAAAAAAATGGTACAAAAAGAAAAACGTGCTTCTGAAAAAAAATTAATTTGTCATACTCCTGCTGAAGTAACCATCATTTATTATCAATTTTTCATTTCTTCCTTTGGCAAGTACAATAAACCTTTATTACAGAATAGTTTGTATATAATCTACATTTAATTTACCTTCAAATAGTATTTATTAGTGATATATTTGCTTTCATTGTTCATCAAATGGTGTATTTTTCCATCTGTAAAAAGAGTATAGATATGTTGTATTGGGATAAAATGCATCATAATTTTTCCATTAAAACTAATGGAAATATTTTGTTTTAAAGCTTTTCACTAAATAGCAGAATTTGCAGAAACAAATTACATCTTTAAGCAAGGAGTAAGTAAACTCTACCCAAAGTTTCAAAAGGTATCACAAAACTAGAACAGAAAGGAAATAATATCAACTGAGTATCCCATATTTGTCAGACACTTTAGGTAAACAGTTCACTAATCCTTAGAATAAGTATGTGTGATAGGTATTGTTCCTTTCTGAAGATGAGAAAACTGAGACTTAGTGATGTGAATGAAATGTTCACAGTCATACAGCTAGTCAACAGCAGAGCCAGAATTCAAACCAAATGTTGGCAAATCCAACGATCATTTCTCTGTGTTAATTTTTGGGTTTTTTTCTGGCAGTAAAATTGAACCCAGGAATTGGACTCAAGCTGATCTACATCCCGAGCCCTTTTTATTTTGAGTCAGGGTCTTGCTAAGTTGCTCAGGCTGGCCTTGAACTTGTGATCCTCCTGTCTCAGCCTTCTGAGCAGCTGGCGTTACAGGCATGCACCACCATGCCTGGCTCTGTTTATATTTACTTCTCATCAGCATTCAGCATAACACCCTGCATTATGAAAGACTGGGCTCTCTTGGCCTCCAAATACCATACTCCCCTGATTTATTCCATCCTCATTAAGAACACTACCTCTCAGTCTCCTCTGTTGAATCAACCTCCTCCACCTAACTACAAGTTCTTGAATTCCTTTTACTCAGGCCAAGGTCCTCTGAGATTTGTCCCTTTTCCTGGATAGCCTCATCCATTCTCATAGATTTAAATACCATCCCTACTTAGATATCTCTCAAATATAGATTTCTATCCTTGACTCATTGAGCTTCAGTTTGACTATTTAATTTTCTACTCCGTTTCTTGACAACTCTATCTAGATATCTCAAAGCCATTATAAACTAGTTGTGCTCAAAGAAGTAAAAAAAAAAATCATGACACCTACCCACTCAAATCTATCTTGTTGTATCTGGAAAAGTAAAAATTCTGTTGTTCAAGCCATCTCTCATTCCTTCCCCAACATCACCCCCAAAACCAGATCTATCAGCAAGTCCTGTTCTACTTCTAAAATATGTCGTGAATTGCTCCACATCTATCCATCTCCACCAATTATCACCTCTACCCAAGTGTTCATTATTTTTCACTTAGACTATGCAACAAATTTACTTCTCTTGCCTCTGTTCCATTTTCCATATTGCAACACAACTAAGAATCTAAAAAACACTAAATCACTCATTGACTAAAAAACTGTAACAGCATAATTAAGATAAAAACCTTAGGGCCAGGGATTTAGCTCAGTGGTTCTGGCACCTGCCTCACAAGCACAAGGTCCCGAGTTCGATCCCCGGTACCAAAAAAAAAAACGAACAACAACAACAAAAAGATAAAAACCTTAAAATGGCACTTAAGACAAAATCAAAACTCTGTATCACAATGTACAAAGTCCTATCTTTCCTAATCTTATATATGCTATTCACCCCTCCTTTCACCACACCAGTAATGCATACTGGTCTTCTTTTAGTATCTAGCACACATTGAGTTCTTTCCAGCCTCAAGATCTTTTCACATGCTATTGCTTCTACCTGGAACATTTCCCTATTAAATACCTAACTCTTTCCTATTCTGTGTCACCACCTCAAAGAGACAGGGTCCATGCTGTCAGAGCCGCCCCTTGTTTCCTTATGGCACTTCTTATATTTGTAATTGTCATGTATTTGTCTTTTGTTGTCTATCAAAATAGAATATACACTCCATAAAAAGTAACGACTATTTAGCTAAATTATTTATAATGTTAACTGTCATATTTCCCATGCCAGGGCATAATATATAGCTCTCAATAAGTACACACTAAAATAAATACTGAATGATAGTCAGTTGTGTCTAATTCCAACTCAATGATCCTCTTTTTTAAAAAAACTGAGATTCAGAAAAATAAATTATTTGTCCAAGACTACACAGTAATAAGCTGTGGAGCCTTAATGACCTCAGGCTTTCTGATTAACTCAGGTTTTCTTAAAATATAACACATTACTTTATGCCCCCCACTCAAAAAATGCCTAAAACATTTTCAACAAATATAAGGTATGTCATATCCAATCTATGCCATTACCATAGACTCCGCAATGAATTCCTACATTAATTTCTTTAGACATGACCAGCCAAGTTCAGGGTGGTATAGCCATAGACTACAGCCATCTGCCTACTCCCTGAATCCAATTATTGGTCTGCTAAGCACTTAGCAACGTATAAATTTACTCAGTTCATGAAGCAACACAGTCTACATTGTGCCAATTGTATACTGCCTTCAGCTTCTTCTACCCATCAAGTGCTGAAATCTGGTAGCAAATGAATCATCTCAAGCTGCTATTGTCACTTGTTGACCAACAGAGAAAATTTAGTATGAACTTTCTCTGCTAACAATTTTTTACTTCAGTATTAAACACATTGTGCCCATACTCTACTTCTGTTATTTTTAAATTTTCATGACAAAAAGTTAGAAAAAATAACCTCTATCATTATGCACCTAGTCCTTAAAAACAGCTGAGTCTCTGTACTTCTGCTTTCATCTTCTAAGGAATTCTACATAATTTTTCAAAGAATATTAGAAATAATAAAATGCATATATTTTAGCACTGTGACAATATTTACTACTAAAAATTATAAATATTTACAATTATAGGCTCGGGGATTTAGCTGGGATTTAGCTCAGTGGTTCCGGCACCGGCCTCGCAAGCACAAGGTCCCGAGTTCGATCCCCTGAGCAAAAAAAGAAAAAAAAAAAGTGAACCTTAACAATTATAAATGTTACAATTCAAATAGGTTTATATAAGTTAACCTAGTGAACAAGAAAATGAATTGTATAGCAATGTTGTATGAAAATTTTTGCTTCTATGCAATTTTTATTTCCCTGATTTCCAACTTCCCTAAAATTACAATACTAAATTTTCAAAGTTCTTTTTGTCATGCTCATTGTTTTCCATCATAAAAATTTCACAATTATTATATACACCTTTGTTATTTACCTACCAGTTTTTTTGTATGTTTTGTCTTTTTTCTTTTTCTCAGTACTAGGGATCAAACTCAGGACCTTGAGCTTGCAAGGCAGGTGCAGTGCCGCTGAGCTAAATCCCCAGCCTTTGTCTTTAATTTTCATTAGGTCTTTTTTGCCCAGTAGGTGTGTCTCTTACTGCTGCTCATTTTAATATGCAATTACATCAGAATATACTAGACTTCTATAGATTTCAAGGCTCTGATTTAAAAGTTGCCATTTAGAATATGGAAAGACAATCCTGTTAAAAAGTTTCAAAAAAAAAAATTTTACTACCCAGCACACACTGAGCCCTTACCTACTCAATTTAGGTACTCAAATCGTATGTCAAACATAGACTAAAAACCCCTTGTTAGAGTGTGTTACAATGGAATGCTACTAAAAGTATGCTTAGCAGTAAATCACATCTATCTTACAGCATGGAGCTCTCTTCCATTCTGTCATGGAAAGCCCAGACCTATGCTGTCCATTATGGTAGCTAATGGCCATCTGTGGCTTTTGGGCCCTGGAAATGTGACTAGCCCTGATTAAGATGTGGTATAATATAGAATACACACCAGATTTTTGACGACTTAGTACGAAGAAAAGAATGTAAAATATCTCATTACTAATTTTATGATTAATGTTGAAATGGTATTATTTTGGAAATACTGGGTTACCCTTTCTATGACCCAGGAAATTTGCCCCCTGTATTTTTTAAATTATTTATTAGTATATGTTTGCAATACACAATGCATATATTCATGGTGGGATATTGGTACACATATATATATCGCATCTTGATCCTTTTTACTTTCCCTTCCCAAAATATATTATTAACATTAATTTCATCTTTTTTTAATAACAAAGAATAAAAAATTTAAATTACATACACAACTCATGTTATACTTCCACAGGACAGCACAGTCTCATGGTAATAAATAGGATTTTTATAATTTAGTTTTTGGTGTTTTATTTTTCCCCAAAGAAAGAGCCTATGAGTAATGTGGTGTTATGGGTAATTTACAGAAAGCAAGGTCCTTAAATGAAAAATTATACTTTCAATGAGAATTAGGAGGAGAAGTAAGAAAAGGGAGAGACAGAAACATCGCAGAAATAGATCATAAACAATAATCTCCTCTTTGCTCAAAGCAGAAAACACTACATATTCAAGAACACATTGACAGCTAAAGGAATTTATTAAAAAATTAATTTGCCAAGAAAGTAAAAAAGATGAAAACAATACTCTAATGATTTTGAAGTTTAAATTTTTTCCAACCACTCTTAGTTCTCTGAGGAAACAAAAATTAGCAATAAATCAGGTGCTTTTCCCAGTATCAAATAACTTGAGACATTCCAAAGCTCTAGTTAACAAAGAATAGTACTGTGACATTTTCAAAAAACAAGCAGTTGTGAGATAAGTATCTATATATTATTTTCTTCCAGCAAAGCTCAAATGTTTCATATTGGAGATCATTTCATTCTAGGAGGCACAAAGGAACCATTCAAAATCCAAGCAGGTGCAAATATAAGTTGGTATAAACACTTTGGAAAATCTTTTGGCATTATTGTCTACCCTAACCATATACTTTACAGAAATGCATACACATTTATATAAAAAAATACAAAAAGTTTGTAGCAAGATTATTCATCACAGCCCCAAACTGGAAACAAACCACATATCTATCAATAGGTGAATTCATACACTGGACTACTACACAGAAATAAAATGAACCAAACACTATAATGTTTTGTTTGGAGTTTTTTTGGTACCAGGGATCGAACTTAGGAACTTGCGCTTACAAGGCAGGCACGGCGCCACTGAGCTAAATCCCCGGCCCTATAACATGTTAACAGTGATGATTCAAATAAAACACTGTATGGAGAAAGCTAGATATAAATATTATATATATATATACACTGTAATATTAATTTATGCCCTTAGAAGTCACCATACTTACCTTTGGGGAAAAAAGGATGGTAGTAATTGGGTGAAGAGATATCCAGAGCACTGAAAATGTTTTATTTCTTTGACCTAGGCAGCAACCACACAGATACATTCATTTTGTGATAAATGAGCTATACAGCTGTGATTTCTGTACATTTCTGTTTGTCTATTATATTTCAACTAAAAATATTCAAAAAATAAAGTTTGTTGGTTATACTAACAGTGTATTTTATATTGCTAATTAAGATATCATTTGGGGGTTGGAAATGTAGCTCAGTGAAGCACTGAATTTGAGCCAAAGGGAAAAATAAAATATCATTTGGAATTTAGGAATATTTTTGTTAAGTTGAGATCTGGAGTTTTGGGGTCCCCCAGCCTCACAATGATGCTGCACCACACTGGCCTCTGAAGCCTGGGCTGAAGTGAACTTCTTGCCTCAGGTTCTGAAGTAGGTGGGATTACAAGTATTAGCCACTGCATCCAGCAGAAATTTGAATTTTAAAGGAGATTTTATTCTTAATATTCTTTTCACAGTTATTAAGCTCATAGGACTACAAACGTTGGAAGATGAGAAAGACTTAGAATAAACTAGTATGGTTCTGTGAAAATGCAGGTGACTTGGCCAATATCAAATTAATAGCTGTAACAAAACTAAGATTTAAAACATTCACATTACATTGCAGGACTTTTAAAGTTTTTAATTTAAGTAGAATTAAACTACATGGGAGAGACTTAGATTTCCTCTGGAAAAAAAATTTTAGAAAAAAATTTAATACCTGTTAGTTATACAGAACAGAATGTTTCATTTTTGCCTATTTATACACGCATATAACATATCTGATACATCATAGGACTAAAAGGAAGAAAACTACAAGTCACCAACTATCAGTATTCATTCCTCCTTTTCAGTAATAATAAGATAATAAACCATAGAACAAGGAAGGAAAGTCATACTTGATCTTCTGGTGAGGAACTTTACAAAACAACGTGTTCAACCAAACACTGTATTAAAAACAGAACATCCTGCTTCTTTTTTTACTTTTTGGACCTTATCTGTAAACAAGTTGAGCAACAGCAAAATCAAGAAGTGTTGATTTACAGATTATGTAAAGGTGCAAATTTCCAGTGATGAATGTCGTTATATTGTATACCTAAAATGTACCAATAAAATAAAATTTTTTAAAAAAGAAGTGTTGATTCCAACTAGAAATGCACCTACATGTGAGCTACCAGCAATTTACAAGATTCAAGGATATAACTACTTATTCTTTTTTCTTCAGACATTAAATAGGCAATTCTCTTTTTTTGTTGTTCTACCTTTTTTTTTAGAAAAAGTATTTCTTATGGCTCAGAAATTTAAAATTAGCTTTGGTAACATCATTTATGTCCATACTTTTTCAGTTTAATTTTTTTTTTCAACTGTTTTCTTTTGGGGGCAGATGAAGAAGGAGATTTCTAAGAAATGCTGTGACAACAGGTTCAAAAGTATAAAAGTCATTTCAAGCCCCAGACATTTGTAGCCTTTATTTCTTTAGTCCTTGAAAGGGCTTTTTAAATGTTAACAGCCAAGATAGGACTGCTTTCCTATACTGATGTTCCAGGCTTCATTTCCTTTGTAGTCTTGAGGTCCTCCCCACCCTCAACCACCCCAGTAACCTCTAGGCTAGCCTCTTTTAAAAAGCAAAACAAACAACAATTTAAAAGAATTTCATTCATCGTGAAACACATACAGGCAGACTTCTAAAAATCCCACACAGAGTGGTACCTCTTATAATTCAGAGAATTAAAATATTCAATTCTTTATATTTGGTGATTTAGTGTATATTGAATATACTTTGATTTCTAAAATAACGACATAACATCTGTAAAGTTATAGCTACACTTTGTTGGCCCCTCCTCCTGAGAAATGCTGATATAAAATATTCAAAAAATAAATATCAGCCAGGCATGGTGGCTCAGGACTGCAATCCCAGCACTTGATAGGCTGAGGCAGGAGGATCACAAGTTTGAGGCTCCCAGACCACAGAACAAGACCTTCTCACAAAAAAAATAATAAAAAACATGGTCATGGGGCCAGGGACTTAGTTCAGTGGTTCTGCCACCTGCCTCGCAAGTGCAAGGACTGGAGTTTGATCCCTGGTACCAAAAAAAAAAAAATGGTCATTTACATACTCTTAAACTTTTAAAAGGTAGGCTTAATTAAATATGTACAGTAGTTTAGAAAAAAAGTTATAAAACACAAAAAGAAAGCAAGCTTGAAGGATTATATTCCAAAATTTTAACAGTGATTATTATTGCAGGGTAATATTATTATAAATGTTTTATTTTTAAATATTCTTCTTGTATTTTATCTTTGAAGTACATGTATTTTTTGTGACAAGATAAGATACTAGTTTTAAAAATACCCCATATCTGGGCCGGGGATTTAGCTCAGTGGTTCCAGCACCTGCCTCGCAAACACAAGGTCCCAAGTTCGATCCCCGGTACCAAAAAAACAAAACAAATAAAAAATACCCCATATCATGCAGGTACTTTTTTTTTTTTTTTTTTTGGTACCGGGGATTGAACTCGGGTCTTTGGGCTTGTGCAGCAGGTGGCGAAACCAGAGCTAAATCCCCTGCCAGATGCAGGTACTTTTGTAAAAATTTCTATATATTTTTAAATATATAGAAGTAAATACTTGTATCTGTGTAATTAGATAAATTTAAAGTATAATTTCCAAAATTGTAATATCATGACTCTCATATAAATATTCAAAAAATTACTTAAACTGTTACATGT